TAGCCTCCAACTCACACACTGGCGAGTAAAATCTGAGAATTTATTAGCAACTGGCTAATATTAGACGTCATTTAGTCGCCCAGAGTGAAGATTTAGTCGCATATGCGAGTGATTTACTCTCAATGTAGAGGGTTGCGTTAAAATTTACTTTATTTTTTTTAAAAGTATATTTCAGGTCAAATTGGACTGGAATTACATAAAATTGCAATATTTACCATAAATATTTTGAAGCATGCAAAATGCCAGGCAAAAAATTTTATTGTTAGTTCTCACTCGTAAGCATATCTCAGGTCATTTTAATGTAGTCTGCATATCAAAAGTCTTAGTAAAGTAAATAATATCAGCCTTGTTATGTGCAATGAGTTTGGTGATGTAAAATCAAGAAAAGCAATTATCGCCAGTGTAAGCTGTTAGTTTGACAAGTTAAAATTTCCTAGAGATTTCTCTTAGTGTTCATTTAGCAAAGACTTTGCACAAAAAAATATTATTTAATTTTTTTTACAGTATTTTGATTCTTGCATTGAACATTTTCAATCAGTTTTGGAATAATGGCTGTGTGGCCCAAACAATGAGTCCAAAAAAAACTTTTTAAGCCATTTCAGAGCGAATACATAAACAGAGACTTAAGGTCAAACGGCTCAGCTGACAAAAAACATTAAGGAATCCCTGGACTATAAACGACAATATTTACTATTGTGAAAACATGACAAAAACCATTAATTATTACTAGTTCTCACTCATGAGCGTATCTCGTGTTATTTTACTTTATTCTGCATGTATAGTATATAATATCAGTCTTGTTATATAGTAATGGCAGTATATTGAAAATTTACAATAAGTGATATAAAATCCAGAAATGCAGTTAACGTTGATATAAGCTGTGAAGTTGACAAGTTGAAATTTCCTATAGAATTCTCTTAGTGTTTATTTAGCAAAACCCTTTTGCTTTTTTCCAGTAGCCTATTGTGTTTCTTGCATTGAACATTTTCAATCAGCTGTTTGGCCTCAATGATGAGTCAAAAGGAAAACATTTAAAGTCCTTTCAGAGCCAGTACATGAAGTGATACGCTGAATGTTGTCGCTGTAGCAGGAAGATGATTCTTCTTTCCTACTCATGAAAACTCTTTGCATTTCTCTGTATTTTTAACTCAAGTTCTGCTGTTATAAATATCTCACTTATTCTCAGTTTCAGGTACTCAGTAAATGAAACTGTGGCCGGTGACACACGCAAACAGCCTCCTGAGCAAATCCTACTTCTTGATGCATCTTTGTGTCATAAAACACAATATACTCCCACTCAAATCAACACAGAATGTCAAACAATCGACTAATAAATTACAAAGCGAAAACACTGGGCAGGACATTTAACTCGCTATTCAAAGTCACACAAAAAAGGCTAAAAGAAAGCATGTGGTTTTAGTCTTTGATGAGCAGATTCAGTCATAACACTCATATTCTCTTAATCAGCGCGCTGGGAGTGCCATGCTGAAACCATACGCTTCCCCACATGGCATCTATTGAGTTATGAAGAACTTTTGTGCTTTGTGTGGAGGATTGTGCCGTTTGGACAAAGACACCAACCGTCTCTCTTAGAGGAGACCGTCTCTGGACCGGATCTGATTTCAAACACTAGATTAAAAGAGACAGTTCACCCAAAAATAAGAGCGAATAAAAGACGACAGAACGTTCATGTCATTCTAAACCTGTATGACTGACTTTCATCAGAAAAACACAAAAGAAGATATTCTGGAGTCCAAACAACATTGGACACCATTGACTTTCACTGACAAGAATAGGAAAAATTATAATTTTATTATTTCCCAAATTCAGGTTTTTCCCATTTTAATTTGTCCAACTTTTTTAATTTAATGGTTTAATTCAATTTTAGTCATCAAAAAGCATGTCTAATTAATTGAAATCATAAAATGTATACAGTTTAAGAACCATTAAAAGTTTCAAAATTACATTTTTAGGGCCCTATGAAATTAAGTTTATTTTTTTCCCCCCAAGTTTCATTTTATTTTTCCCAAATGTAGTTTTGTTTTTGTTTTTTACCATTTGAATTTTTTGGATTCCGTTTTAATGGTTTAATAAATTTTAATAATAAAAAAGCGTTTAATCACTTCATAAAATTTTAACAATTTAATAATTTATTATTATTTTTAACAATATAAACGTTTTCTACAAAGTCCCTCCTTCCGACAAGCGCAGTCTGCTCTGATTGGCCAGCTGACCCAGTGCATTGTGATTGGCCGAACACTGCAAGCACTTGTCGGAAATGTAACGCCCCTTACCATAATCGCGAGCTTCATCTTTCAAAATAAATGTAAAGACAGAGCCCGAAAGGAGAACAGAGTC